GTGACTGGCAGTGTGTAATGAGTGGTGGAGATCTGCTGCAGAATGCCAGTTTAGAACCACAGAACGCAATCTGTTTCGAGAAAATGCCTTCCTTTCAAATAATTTTATTTTTGGAAAAATGAAAGGCCCAAGGCAGACCGTTTTAGTTCATTCATAGACATAGATGGGCCTGTGAGAAAGCAATGTGGGAAAAATGTGGTCCACTACCTATTTTATTTTATTTTTTTTGTCAGTCGTGGGGCCTGAACTCTGGGCCTGAGCGCTGTCCCTCAGCTCTTCAGCTCAAGGCAAGCGCTCTACCACTTGAGCCACAGCTCCACTCCCCCTATTTTATTTTTTGCCAGTCCTGGAGCTTGAAACTCAGACCTGGATACTGTCCCTGAGCCTCTCTGTGCTCAAGGCTAGTACTCTACCACGAGTCACAGTATCACTTCCAGCTTCTTCTGTTTATGTGGTTCTAAGGAATTGAACCCAGGGCTTCATTCACGCTAGGCAAGTATTCTACTATTAAGCCACATTCCCAGTCCCAACTACCTATTGTTTTCTGAGCCCGGAAACTGAGATAGGCTTTGGCCTACCTCATCTAAAAGGCACCACCTTCAAGAAACACCACTGCTTCCCCTCAAGTCTAGTTTCTCTAACTTTGGTAAAATTGGAGAGAAATGTACATTAACTTCCTTTCTATTTCATTTTCTCACCTCCCTCTTTGCATGCCCCTAGGACAGACATTTCTCACACTGGAGACCAACTGTTTTCTAGAGGTGAGAATTTTATCAACAGGCCTTCAGGAAGGAACAAGGAGATACAACCTCACCCTAAGGTCTTTTTTGCTCACTATGGCCATAGCTGCACTGTCTTCAAAGGGAGCTTATGTATTTATTTATTATTTTTTGGTCCGGAGGCTTGAATTCAAGAGTCTGGGTACTGTCTTTTGAGCTCTTTTCACATGAGGCTAGCACTCTAACACTTTGAACCACAGTGCCACTTCTAGTTTTCTGGTGGTTAACTGGAGATTAGAGTCTCAAGGACTTACTTGCCTGGGTTGGCTTTGAACCTCAGTTCTCAGATCTCAGCCTCCTGAGCAGTTAGGATTAGTGGTGAGCCACTGGCACCTGGCTAAAGAGCTTTTTCAAAGTCACTGGATGGGAATGTGCTGAGCAGTTCTATAGACAGATGAGCTCCCAGCTTGCAAAAGGTCTGTGAGGCCAATGCCCAACAGACACCACCTGAGGCACAGCAAGTTCTGATGGCTTTCGGGTTGCGCCTTTCCTAAACTTTGGTTCTGTAAGCCAAAAGAAGAAATTTTCTTTTTGTCAGCTGTGGGGCTTGAACTCTGGGCCTGGGCGCTGTCCCTCAGCTCTTCAGCTGAAGGCGAGTGCTCTACTGCTTGAGCCACAGCACCACTTTGGTTTTCTATTGGTTTATTGAGATAAGAGTCTCACAGACTTTCCTGCCCAGGCTGGCTTTGAACCTCGATTCTCAGATCTCAGCCTTCTGAGAAGCTAGGATTACAGGCATGAGTCACCGGTGCCCAGCTGGAAATTTTCTTTAAGGATAGAGAAAGGAAGTTATTATACAGTCTGGGACATGCTGTGTGAAGAGGCAAAGTAAGCATTTCAAGCCATCTTTAAGATATAGGCATGAGCTTCAGGTTTAAAGAATCATAATACATTAATTATTCAGAAGTACAGATCACCAGTATGTTTTGGTGAAGCCCAGTTTAGTCTTGTTTTGGGAGGGACTCTGTCAGTGCTGGTCAGGGTAACCAAGTCATTGTTGCTTGGTGGGTGGTTTTACTTCCCCCTCCGCCCTCCCAGCTTCGGGAAGTTTCTTCCACTCCTCTCAGTGAGCATGTTATGCAGACGTACTCTCCTCAAAAACGGAAATTTTCTGCTCAGGCTGGCATGATTGGATTCCCATCACTTGCCTCACAGTCCATATAACTGTTTCCAAAAACCTGTGTATTACCTTCACCATGTTTTCCCCACAACCCCACATCAAATGAGTTCAAAATACTTCACACAGCACGCTGAAGAAATCCTTTGAATAATATGTTTATTTTATAAATCAAATATACACTTCCAATTTTCTACGTAAATCCAAATGTTTAGAAATTAGATTTATTTACAATTTTAACTAGTGTGATTTTTACAGCTGGGTGGCATTTACAGTTGAAATACGAGTTGTTCTTGGCAGAAGAGTTGTTCTTAGCTTTTCATACTTGACTATCACACAACACTAAATATTTTTATCTTAGATAATATTTACTCAGAGTAATAAAATATAATGGGACACTTGCTTAATAAAAGGGTTAAGAAATGATTTGGGTTATAATCAAAGGAATGTAACTACAAATCTGTAGAAAGGCACTTTGCATGTAAAATTCCAATAAAAAAGCTATTCTCCAAAATTTTACAGATCTAAAGAATTACTCCTAGTTAACATGTTTTCTGCTTTAGTGCTTAAAAGCCTCCATAAATCCGATCACCTTGGGTGCTGAGGTTAGCTTACTTGCAAGGGTTCTAAGCAGTCTATAAAGTATGCTTGGAAGGCTGCGGCATTGTGGCCCACAGCTAGTGAGTGAGGCCAGTGATGACACATGGATCACAGGAAGCGGGTGGGAAGAAGGGACTAGAAAATCAGAGTGCAGCTACAGAGAGAAGGCGACGGAGGAGGAGATGAGAGATGTCTGCTGTGACTCATACTCTTGTTTTCTAAGTGTTCAGGGACAGATTCCAGCAAAACTTCTGGTTTGGGTCAAGCCTTTTTGAACTGATGACTTCCCAACTAAGATAGTTACATAGTTGCAGTGTGTGTGTGTGTGTGTGTGTGCGCGCGCGCGCGCTGTGAAACACGATTTTTTAGTTTTGCTCCTATTCAGCCAGAAAACCAGCTGAGAGAATAAAACCAATACAGAAATCAAAGCTGCTTCCACGAAAGAACTGTATATGCAAGTGTTTCATCTCAGTGGAGCAGGAAGAAATGAAATTGGAGTGTAGGCTCCTGAAGACTGGTAAGGGCAGGAGGGGAGAGTGCAGAAAAGGAACCTCTAGAAAGGAGATGGTGAATGGAAAGGAAATCCCAGGCACTGTCAGTTTCATGTTGTTTTAGGAACTGGTGTTTCACCCATCTAGGCTGGGGGGGGGGGGGGGGGGGTTAGTGGTTAAATCTAACAATGGTCATCTGCCCCAATCCTCCAGAATTAGGTTGCTACCAGGAAGTTCTGCCAGGCATCTTCCTACTTTATAGTTTCAATGCCTCATTTCCTAAGGTGATCTGAATTCTAACTAGCACAGGGAGTTCCCACAGACACCAGTGTCTAGTTATCACATGCTCATATGGTTCATATGTGTCTCTGTCAGTTATGGGAAGCGTACATTTGTACTTTTAGCTCAATGCTTTTCACACAGAACACATTTGACGAAATGAAGAGATTACAGCCTGGAACCCCTAATCTCTAGTTATGCTTCCCCTACTCAAGCACAAGTTCATTGTTTCTAAGGGGGAAAAAAGGCTTTTTTGTACTGTAAAATTAAAAAAAAAATTAAATGACTAGATGCTGGTGCCCTCTGTCGCCAAGAACGCTGCTGGGAATGCTTTTAGCAGCTTGCAACCAAGTCCCTCACCTGTGTTATTTAACAATGTCTGGTCAGGAAGTAAGGCACTTCACCTAAAAGGCTAGGTGTGACCTGTATAAGTGCCAGGGCTCTAAGCCCTTTCTAAGCACCAAGCTGTCACCCTGGGGGCCTTTCCTGAAGGTTGTCAACACCCAAGAAATGCAAAATGTGTGTGGTCTTGACTGGAGACTCTTTCACTGGGGGTGGGGTACTGACAAAATACTCCATTACGTGGTTTGACACAATTTCTGGTCTACTTGAAAAAGGATGAAAATTCATCTCAAATTGTTGTCATGCACACAGAAAGTACTAGATTTTCCTTTGACACTGAGCTCAATTTTCAGTTTGTAATAATGTCTCCTAAAAAGGCAAGGACTTCCAAGTCACATCCAAAGGACAAAAGGATTCTTATTTAGTCTAGCAGTCTGATGAGAACCCTCCTATGGCCCTCCAAGGTGGGCACAGGCGGTACTGAGTGAGAACTTGGGGACAGGCAGCCAAAGGTCCTGACAATGTCCCTGATTCCAGCATGCTGACTTCAATTGGATGAACATGTGTTTCTCCAGAACAACCTGTTACAGCCAGGACTTGCTTGTTTAGATACACAGGGAAGGAAGGTAGCTGTGTGAGGATAAATAAATTGTGAGGAGTAATAAATCTAGAAATCTAGATTAGACTGGGCATGAGCATTCTCATTTGGAAAGTTACAATCTGAGCAGGCCAAAGTCATGTGTATTTATTAACAGCATAGTGTCATTATAAAAAGTATACACGCGGGCTGGGAAGGTGGCTCAGTGGTAGAGTGCTTGCCTTGCATGCCTGAGGCCCTGGGTTTGATTCCTCAGCACCACATAAGCAAAAAAGAAAAAAGCCGGAAGTGGCGCGGTGGCTCAAGTGTAGAGCCCTAGCCTTGAGCTGAAGAGTTGAGGGACAGCGCCCAGGCCCAGAGTTCAGGCCCCACGACCGGACCCAAAAAAAAAAAAAAGTATACACGCTCCATAGATCAGAAGGAAGGCTGAGTGCTTCTCTTGTAGAGCTAAGTGGAGTTCCAAGCTGAGAAAGTTTTCTTGGTAGGTAATGACACCAGTGGAATTCTGGAATTGAGGGAAAGGAAAAAGGAGAATGTGAAGGGAAATCTAGTATTCTAGGAGGTCAGAAAAGTGAGTGTGGTAAGTGCATGCTTATAATCCCGGCACTTGGTGAGGAGCGGACTGGGATGAGTTTGAGGGTAGCCTGGGCTACACAGCAAGACCTTCTGTACTCAAAAGACAGACAAGAACCGAAGAGGTAGAGTCCCTGTTAAAATCACAACACTTCATTAGGCAACAAGATTTTCAAGTGGGAAAGCATGCTCAAAATAATCATAACAATACTATGACAATGGAAATGAACAAAAAAAGTCTTCTTTAAGTGCATTAATACAGCATTATTAACATATCAACCAACTACAATGGAAGCCACTTGGGCACGGGGAATGGCTGTGAAGGTTGCTCAGGAAGCAGAAGCTGATGCCACGGGCTGAATTTCAATGATCCTTCAGCACATAAAGCCACTGTGCCCTTGACATGGAAATTCCAAATCATCTAAGTAACAAAACATTGTAAATTGTAGAGAACTATACAAGTATTTACTCTGGTGTGCATCACAGGTTAGAACAAGTTCCCTGGTTCAGCTGGGTGGCATTGTCAATGGGCGGTCCATAAGGTCAGCTGAGCAGAGAAGATGTGAGGGATTGTTGTGGAATCTTGACCTTGGTTATATTGCCCACAATATGCATACAGATAAATAATATGCAGTATGTCAGAATCAGGATTTGAAATTAGAAACAAGGAAAAAAGCAGATAACAACCTGGTATTCTTAAGGCAAACAATAGAAATCTCTTTAAATAGACACTTTATTATATCCACAGGCGATAAAATCCCAGAGCTACTGTTAGGCATGTAAATACAGACCCTGTAAGAAAAAAATAATTGAGAGTACTATTAGTTGTATGAATTGTTACTTGAATGAAATGGACTTCCCTCCTGCATTTTACACTGTATATGGGTATTACGAGTAATCCACAGATGATTTAAAGAATCTATTAAGAATATAAAGGGACTCATCACCTATCCACTAAGAATATAAAAAATAAAAACTAGAAACTCAGAGTCTTTTTCATGAAACACCTGCCCAAACTGCACACCATGAGATCGTTCAAAAATCATTGCATCATTCAACTGAATATCCAAGAATAACTTTTCAGTAAAAGTACAGAATCACAAATATTCTGTGGTTACAAAGTATATGTATGTGTACTATACCAGGACATATACTTTAAGCCAGATATAGTGGTACACACTTATAATCCAGGAGTATTCAGAGTTGAAGGCCATACAAAAAAAACCGTGTAAACAATTATATCCCTAAAACTGATCTGAAATAAGGGTTATTTTTTTTGATAAATTTTCATTTCTTATTTTGGCTCAAAAAAAAAAAAATCTCAGAACAATCCTTAAAAGGAGTGTCACCGATGGAAGAAGAAAGAACACAAGGCATACGCCTTCAAGCTTGTCTATAACATATCCCCTGCATTGAATTCCTCTAAAATTACATGTAACCATCATCCAATGACAGCATCTTATCAAATTTATGATTCCACCAATTATGAAATACACAATTTAAAAAATGTATGAGCCGGGTGCTGGTGCTCATACCTGTAATCCTAGCTACTCAGGAGGCTGAGATCCAACGATCGTTGCTCAAAGCCAGTCCAAGCAGGAAAGTCTGTGAGACTCTTATCTCCAATAAACTACACAGAAAAAAGCCAAAAGTGGCACTGTGGCTCAAGTGGAAGACTAGCCTTGAGCACAGAGGTGCTCAGGGACAGAGTCCAGGCACTCACTGTATTTTAAGCCCCAGGCCCAGCTCCCTCCCCCTGAAAAAAAATGTATTACCAAGAAAGGGTACATGCAAATTAAAGTACGATGCTCTGGGAAGTGTAAGATGCTTTCCAATTTAAGAGGTTTTTCAAACATGAAAGAAATATCAACAAATTACACCACCAGACATGGGCTTAGTTTTATAAAGCTGAAGTATTTTCTTATATCTTACCTGCTAAATATTTGATAGTATCAAGCTTGTGCGCCTCAAGCATGGTTTTTAGGCCAGCAACCTCAGTTTCTATCTTCCTATCGGTCTGGGTCAAGGCGCGGTCTTGCTGGGCATGCTTTTAAAACAAAGAAGTGCAGAGCATTAGCTCCTTCTGCTGTCAATCAAGTTCCTTTCTGGCAGGTGCAGTCACAGAGAAGTCTGGGCTCAGACTAGGGGCTGGAGCTTAGTCTTGGTTTTATTATCCTCACGCCTGGCTGCTTCTGCCCAGACCTTAGTCTCATGTCTCCATATCTTTCTGTTTGGGAAAAAGGAAGAAAAAAGTACCATTGGCCCTGTCTTCCTAGGGGCTATTTAAAGAATCAAGTGTGAGAATGTATGTAAAAGCTACAGATTGCTTTAAAAGTGCTGCAGCATTATGAATCTGGGCTGCCCCCTCCCGTTGCCATCCCCACCAAAGGCGATGCAGTCAGCACAGTGCAAGTCCTTTGTGTTCATCACGATACTATGTCTAGTCATGTCTTTATAAGCTTTCCTTTTCATAGTTCAAACATCAAGTATTTTTTATTAATATAAGGCTGAGCTACCAAGGGCCAATTTGCATCCTTCTCCAAATATAATCCAGTTAAACAAGCTACATAATTAGCCCCCAAAGGGCAGTTTGGCTACTGTTATAAAGAAGTTATACTAATGCATAAAAATTTCCAGGATGCTTCTCTGAAAGTCCTAAAACAAGCAAGTCGTTTCCTGTGGTTACCAAGGCAGGCAAACAATCAGGACGTGGTATGTGAGCGGAAAGCAGTGCAGAAAAGCATTCTAAGACCTCATCCTCATGGAGGCCGCGTAGAGTCAGGTGCCAGAGAACACAGTAATGATTGTTGCTTTGTGTGTGTTTTCTGGCACCAAAACCTGAGTGCCTGCCTTGCGCATGCTAAACACACGTTCGACCATGGAGCTTCAACCTCAGCACGAGGTAACACTAGTATGGAATAGGAACCAATGCATCCCAGTAATTAATCTCCATTTCTTGTTCATTGATAGTTACTGAGATTTAAACTAGTATGAAGATAACATTTTAAGACCAAAATATTCTTTTTTTTTTTTTGGAGGGGGGGGGTCCGGTCGTAGGGCCTGAACTCTGGGCCTGGGTGCTGTCCCTCAGCTCTTCAGCTCAAGGCTAGCGCTCTACCACTTGAGCCACAGCGCCACTGCCAGCTTTTTTCTTTTTGCATATGTGGTGCTGAGGAATGGAACCCAGGGCCTCAGGCATGCAAGGCAAGCGCTCTACCACTGAGCCACCTTCCCAGCCCAAGAGCAAAACATTCTATGACATTTAACTTCTGGATACATACTGAAAAGAACAGACAGCAGACACCCATGTTCATTGTGGCATTATTCACGATAGCCAAAGATGGATGCAATCATGCCCACTGACAGATGAAGAAACAGAATGTGGGATATACACATAATGCAATACTATTTCACTCTTGAAAAAGATGAAGTTTGTCAATTGGAACAACATGGATAAACCTTGAAGACATCATGCTGAGTGAAGTAAGTCTGCCACAAAAGGACAACTACATAATTCTACTTAATAAAGTTACCTATAACAGTCAAATTCATAGAGGAAAAGAATAGAATGGAGGTGGCTAGGGGCTGAAGGAGGGGATGAGAAATTGGTGTTTAAGTGTTAGTTTCAATTTTGCAAAATAAGTGCCACTGATGCTTACATATAAAAATAATTAAGAGGGCAATGTTTATGTTATGTATACTCTGGCACAATGAAAACCATCCCATGACTCTGAGCCTGTAAGATATCCATACAAACAATAGTTCACCACACATGGGATGAAGCAAGGGCGAATGAAATGACAAAGAAAAGTCAAGTGGTGTTTCTTACCAATTCCACTATTTCTGTTCTCAGTTCCAGTAGCTTCCTCTCGTTCAGTGAGTACTGAAACAAACATGCAACTTGAGTGAGATTCTGATCTACCATCCCAGTCCTCCTCTGGAGCCTTACATATCCTGATCTCCGAGCCTTCTACGACATGCATCAATAGAGCATTGCCTGGTAAGAGCAGCCCACCCACCTCTTCTTTAACTGTTACTCATATTCATGGCTTTGGTGTGTACAATCCCTTTTGTCATCTGCCACTTCTCTGCTGACTTTGTCATCTTGTGGTGTGGTCCTCCCACGGGAATAGCATTTCCTGGGACTCCGTAGATGGATGCTGAGGTATATACATTTTGTTTTTGGTTCCGTGAGGATTGAAAATGGTGGAGAACCAACCTGACCCTGTCATAACTACTTGCAAAACAGGTCACTATTGAGGCTCAGAGGAAAGAAGGGAAACAAATATGCTGCTGCGGGAAAATGAGATCTTACAATTACTATTCTGTGACAAAGACTGTATATTTATAAAACATAATAAAAATGTAAGAAACACAGTAAACCTTCACATACTGGCTCCAATAATAACTAAAATACCCCCAAACCTACTTGGGGATAATCATAAGCCAGTGTTACTACAGGAACTAGTAAGTCATATGAATTCTTTGTTTAGACTCTTTAACTCTCATTTCCTGCATGGGGAGCAGAAAATGTTTCCCTCTTTTTCTATTTTTTCCTAGAATAGATCCTTACTAAAACCTGAAGAAAAATAAAGTGGGTTTTTTTGGCCTTTGGCTATTAATACTAGTGAAAAGATTTAGTATAATTTTGTTGACACTAAAATCAAAATCAGACTTCTCTTTCTCTGTAGTAGTGGGCATCCAGATTTAACTGAGCAAATGACAACTAGTACTTAATACACAAAAAGTTCTGAATTACCATATATTTGTAGTAGGAGGGGATTTCCTTGTGATATTTCTATACATGCATACAGTGTACTTTGGATAAATTCACAGCCTCTAACTGAAAAAAAATTTAAGACCCAAATTTATCAATGTTATAGGGGAAAAGTTGATGTTCTGAGGTACTAAATTTTTTCTTTTCTTTTCTTTTTTTGGTCGGTCGTGGGGCTTGAACTCTGGGCCTGGGTGCTGTTCTTCAGCTCTTCAGCTCAAGGCGAGTGCTCTACCACTTGAGCTACAGCGCCACTTCCAGTTTTCTGGTGGTTTATTGGAGATAGAAGTCTCACGGTCTCTCCTGCCCGGGCTGGCTTTGAATCGCGATCCTCAGATCTCAGCCTCCTGAGTAGCTAGGATTACAGGGTGAGCCACCAGCACCTGACTAATAAATTTTTTTCTAGCTATAACATGTTCTATTTTAGTTAAAAGGAAAATAGAGTGCAAAAAGAGCAGTGTTTAGAAGTGAAAACAAACCTCCCCAACCTTCAAGCCTCACACTAAGGACTGCTCACAGGCAAAGAACAATGTTCTATTATATAAGGCAGGGCTCAGACCAGCAGAGCATCATGTGTGAGATTACCACTAGAGGGCAGTGTGGAACTGCATGTTCACACACCTTTAAGTACTCTACACAGGAATACCAACTTTCCACAAGGACTACATCTTGACACTTTCTATGGTTTTTAAAGTAACACCTCTGTGGATCTAGCTCCCAAAGCAATTTCTATGTGATATTACTATTCTCTCCGCCCACCCCCCGGAATGATGGTGAGACCACATTAGATCCTTGTGCTTGCTGGAACTAATTTAATTTAAAATAAATTTATATTATTTATTGTCCAGGAAAATGAGAAGTCGTCCTCATTACCTGTTTCCGCCCCCCCCCCCCCCAAAGCTGAACAATGTGTCCTACAGAACAATCTACATGTGGGATTACATGAACACGTTCCCAGGGCTGGCAAACCACAGAACATCACTGGCTTTACTCTAATGTACTTCCTCTACTTCCCAGTCTCCTAGATGTATTTCTTCCCAGTTTTGTTAGTTACAGGCACATAATTATCTTCACAAATCATATAAACACAAGTTTTCCTGTGGAGAAAGCGAAGGATTTCTCTTCTATATACTAGACAGTGCTGATTGTCACTAAGTGTTTAAAATGCTACCTGGTTAATCTTCACTATTGAAAAGTACCATCAGACTACAAAGAGGGGTAACATGGACAGTAAAAATTATTTTGCATAATGACGCTAAATGTAACTTTTCAAGTCCACAGCAGGTCCCAATACAATTACATACTTGGCTGAGCTTCAGCTTTATCTTCATTATCATTTGGCACACTTTGACTAAGGCAAATTGTGAGAAATGACACAACAATGAACAGGTACAAGCACTCTTTCCCACTGGTGTATCCAGCTGGTACTGATGAAAACTGCTCCAAATGGCCTATTTCTTATTATGCCAAGAACAAGAAAGGAGCCTTCTTGAATTAAACAAAAATTTAATTTTAATGTTACATTTGAAGGGTCAAATTCAAACCCTAATCCAAAACAGAATTAAGACTTTTAAATTGTGTCTAATATCAATAAATGGTAACTAATAATATTTATAACCAACCATTCCATCCTGAGAAGAAATCAATTCATAATCTACTGCTAATAAAGGCACTTACCAATTCTTTCACTCTGCTTTTTTCTAGGTTGAAATCTAACTTGGTATCTGTGCGCACTTTGATCACTTCATCCTGGTCAGAGGGCAAATGACAAAGACAAATAGAAATCCTGAGTAAGAAATCCAAGGGGCTAGGAATGTGGCTGGCTTGGTGGTAGAGTGCTTGCCTAACAAGCGTGAAGCCCTGGGTTTGATTCCTCAGTGCCACATAAACAGAAAAAGCTGGAAGTGGTGTTGTGGCTCAAGTGGTAGAGTGCTAGCCTTGAGCAAAAAGAAGCTCAGGGACGGTGCCCAGACCCTGAGTTCAAGCTTCAGGACTGGCAAAAAAAAAAAAAAGAAAAAGAAAAAGAAAAAAAAAGAAAAGAAATCCAAGAAGCATAGGACTCCTTGCTGCCTCTTTCTAAGGGAGCCAGTCCAGGGAAGGAAATAGGGTTGGGGCCTGATGTCAGGGGGCTGGGGATAAAGTACAACTGAAGCCAACTCTGTCTCTGGGCCTCCCCTTTGGTGCTCAGTCTGGACTAGACAGAGAATTATTGCTATCAACCTCAAGATTCTCCCATATAATCTCCCTTGAGGAATTTATGAATAAAGCAGTTCCTAAGACCACCTGGAAAGCAAAGATGGGCTCAAATATTAACTTCTGGTTTAAATAAAATTATTTACTTCAAGCTCATCAATGTATTTTACAACATCAATGTCCTTTCTACTTAAAAAAAAAAAGTCAAGCCAGGTGCGGGTGTCTCACACCTGTAAACCTAGTTACAGGGAGGCTAAAATCTGAGGATCAAGGTTTGAAGACAGCCTCAGTGGGAAAGCCTGTGAGACGCTTATCTCCAATTAACTACCAAAAAAGCTGGAAGTGAAGCTCCGGCTCAAGTGGTAGAGAGCTATCCTTGAGCAAAAGAAGCTCAGGGACAATACTCAGGCCCTGAGATTAAGCCCCAGTATTGGCAACAAAAAACAAAAGAAAACAAAACTGCTGGCCTGGTAAATATGGAAAAACTATATACAATCCTCTACAGTAAGTCTCTATTTGGCTACTTTAAAACAATATTAATTTAAAAATAGTTTAGCCAGGCCTACTGGTGCACACCCGTAATCCTAACATTTGGGAGACTGAGGCAAAAGGATCATGAGTTTGAGGCCAGCTTGGTCTACACAGTAAGACCCTAGGGAGGAAGGAGAAGGGGGGAAAAAGGATACCACTCCTCCCAGAACACTATTTTCTTAATGCATTTGGATAGACATTGGTCATTTACTTATTGGCTGTGTTCCAATGTGTGCTTTTGAGGCATATTACACAATCATTCCACATAGAATTAGGTTTTTAAGAACATGTATTTTTGACACTATTTTATTAGTTTCTGTAATTACAAACAAACTTGCAAACAAGAAGGAGAATCTTACCATTACTTGTTGTTTTAGCTGATGTAGCTCAAGTTTTATTTTCTGAAAATACATTAAAAAGAAATTAAACATATATTTAGAAAGAGGAAAAAATAGAAAACTTGACAATAAGCAAATATTATAATATTAACTTATGCACAAGATTTTCACCTTCTTCCCTTATCACAAACCTGACTATATTCAGAACACAACGCTAATGATAGCTGTACAATGCACAGGAAGACCATAAGATTAGTTTTAATTCCATCTTGAAGATTACCTAAAGTGATTAACACACTGCCCCTTCAGTGAACCTGCTTTCTTTCACCCTTGAGTTTTTCTTTCAACTAACACTGTCCTTAACTGGCTGATTTCAAAGGTGACTTTGAGAGTTCAACATCCAATAAACAGTTCCCTTTGGGACTCTAAATAAGGCTGAAGACAAGAATGAGATGCAAGGAGAGTACTTAAAAAGACAGAACGGGATATTTTGTAGCACCACCTTTCTATAACAAGCTGAAACTGGGAACAACTGCAACACACATCCCAGGGGAAGGCTGTAGCACAGGAGTGTTACACCAGACGATGAAAAAGGAAGATTTCTTGCTACAAGGCACACCATTCACTTCCATTAGTAAAACTCCAGAAGAGGCCAAACTAGTCAATGATGGCTTCCTTTGGGAGGAGGGACTAGAAAACACCCAAGTAGACCTCTGGGGGCTAGCACTCATGTGTCCTGACCTGATCAGCAGTGTACACAAAAATTCTCCATGGGGACATTTACTTGTGTGCTTCTACGTACATGGAGCTCAATGTCTTTAAAGCAATCTTTTGAGTGCTCTGTAGTTTTACCTCATTTTCTGCTCTGAGGGCTGAAAACTCACTCTTTTCCAAAATAATCATATCCTTTTTCACATTGGCAATCTTGGACATTATTTGCTGAAGAGTAATTTCCTAGGAAAAGAACAAAAACATATTCTAGTTCAGCTCAAGTCCATCTGCTGTCGTTCCATCTGCCATCATCTTACTAAAAAGCTAGAAGAAGGTAGACAAGGGGGGCCCTCAGAAAGGTCGCCCTCCATTCCAATATGAGAAGACAAGTAAAATGCCCACAGCAGGACACACACAGCAATAGCAATACCAAGAGAACTACAGTTGAGAAGTTAGTCTGTGGATTCAGTAACACGACACTGTAACACCACACTTCTTGCTACATCTGTCTTAATTAAAGTACTCTTAACTGAATAATTGCTTTTCAAGCATAGTAAACTATCAAGCACAATGAGTTTTTTAAAAATATATTTTTGTTATTATTAAGATATTATACAGAGAAGATACCATTTCACAATTCAGATAATGCATACATTTCTCTTTTGGACAATGTCATCCTTTTCTTTGCTTTCCTACAGTTAAGCACAGTGAGTCTTACCTACAATAGTTGACAAAAAAGCTCTGAATATTCTAATATCATTATTTTTTTTTGGGGGGGGGTCCGGTCGTGGGGCTTGAACTCTGAGCCTGGGCGCTGTCCCTCATCTCTTCAGCTCAAGGCTAGCGCTCTACCACTTGAGCCACAGCACCACTGCCGGCTTTTTTCTTTTTGCTTATGTGGTGCTGAGGAATCGAACCCAGGGCCTCATGCATGCAAGGCAAGCGCTCTACCACTGAGCCACCTTCCTAGCCCCTGAATATTCTAATATTATTATAACTATTTTTCCTTTCAACTATATTAATTTACTATATACTATAATTATTTTTCCTCTCAACTACATTAATTTACTTATATGTTTTTTTTTCTTTTTTGGTGATATCTAGAGTTTGAACCTAGGGCCTTATACTTGATAAGCAAGCATTCTACCCCTTGAGCCATGCCTCAAGCTCTTTTTGCTCTTCAGGTAAGGTTTTTCATTTTTTCCTGGAGTCACTCTTGGACCATGAACTTCCTGTTTCCTGCTTACCTGGGATTACAGAAGTGAGTGACACCTACGTTGTTCTTTGAGATGAGAGTTCTTGCTAGCTACTTTTTTTTTTTGGCCTGAGCTTGTCTCCAACTATGATACTCCATCTCTATAATTACAGGTGTGAACCACCATGCCAGGCTCCCTATATTCAACAGAATATTATTCAGCTAATTACACTGACAGTTATTACAACTAATACACTGCTTTCAGATTTCAAAGCTGACCTGCTGCATTTTGGTGACCATATCTTTGTAGATGATATCCATGTTGGCATCCATGATCTTGACCAATGCAGACACAATGATTTCTGCTTGTTGAGTAGTAAACCCTGAGCAAGCACACAAATAAACCAATTAGATTTACAAGAACTGCAGTTGTCAGGAAAAAGTGTACATTCCCATGAAGGTCTGGAGGTCTGGATTCAAAAGCGAAAGGAAGACAAGGTGTGGCAGGAAGATAAGGAGACTGTGTTACAGACTGGGGTTTGTCTGTCTTTCAGTGACATCTGAGTGTTTCTCACATAAAAAGGGGTGGCCTAGCTGACTGACCATCTCTAAACCTCCTTCCCAGCTGTCAGAAACTATTTGTGACAGCTAACCAGAGAATGGCTGTTATCAGAGGAATGGCCTGCAATTCAATGTTAAAGGAGAAGAAGATTTAAGATTACAGATAACAATCATTAGTTTAGCAACTTAAAGACAGTCATTTTCATTTTCTTTTTTGATTTTTAAATCTTTTGGCAGTGTAGGGATTGAACTCAGGACTTGTGTATGCCAGGCAAGTGCTGTAACATTGAACTAGATCTTAGCCCTTTTCTTTTTTTGTCTGTATTGTCTCAATTTTCTATACCAGAAAACTTAATTAAAATGTTTTATTTTCCATTCTTGAGGCTTGAACTCAGTGCCGAGGTGCTATCTTGAGATTTTCTGCTCGAGACTAGCACTCTACCACTTGAGCCACAGCTCCTCTTCTAGCTTTTTGGTGATTAACTGAAGAGTCTCATGGACTTTCCTGCATGGGCTGGCTTCGAACTGTGATGATCAGATCTCAGCTTCCTGAGTAGCCAAGATTATAGGCATAAGCTACTGATACCTGGCTTGTTTCTTTAATTTTAAAATGTATGCTAGGTAGCACATAAAAATGTACTAAATAGGCTCAATTATTTTATTTTTCACATAAATAGGATCATTGACTCTGAAGAGTAGAACGAAAATCTATCTTCAGTTTAGTGTCAAATGAAAAGTCAGTTTTACATTTTTGTCTCTTCTCTCCAGTTACATTCTAGGGGACCCAAAATTGAGAAGAGAAGAAATTAGCCTTTGCTTCTTAATAGATGACACAGTGAGTGACAAGAGGCTCAGACTCAACAACAGATGAACTAAATACTCAGCAGTTCACCCAGCACTGTCACTGCTTAAACATCAACACCAGTCATTTTTTCTATTAAATAAGGACTTTCATTCTTAGTGTATCTGAACAAAGTTGTAATCAGTACAACTGAGATTAAACATGGTACTAGGATTACAAAAAAAGCAAACTCACAGATGAAAAGAATAGGCCCTTTTCCCACCGTCTTATTCTAGTCTTTAACTTCTCAGAAAGCTTGCTCTGAGCTACTAGAGAAAACACCTAGAAATGGGACCACCAAAATATCATCATGTACCAGGCGCCGGTGACTAACACTGCTTGCCTTGAGCTGAAATGCTGAGGGACAGTGCCTAAGCCCCAAGTTCAAGCCCCACAACTGACCAAAGAAAAATATCATCATGGTTTGGCTATAGAGTGTTGGTTCTGAGATTTGTTTTCTTTGTAGCCTTAATTTTTAAAAAATTAACATGCCTTCAAACTTTTTTTTGGTGCTGGTCCTGACTCAGGCTCTGAACTGTGATGCTCAGATCTCAGCCTCCTGAATAGCTAGGGTTACAGGCATGAGCCACTAGCACATAGCTAACTATTTTTAAGAATAGCAAATTTTAAAACTTTTTAAGTTCATAAATTACGAGAAAAAGAAAAAAAGAGAAAGGGATAAAGAACTAATAGTCAAGATAGAACAAACTCCAAAGCCACAGAGTTTCGGACCATCATGGGAGAAGAGGTAAAGAAAAATGAAAATCCAGCCTGAAAATCTGCATCAGGCCACAAAGGAATCTTTTGCAGGAATGAGAGAAAAAAACATATTAGAATTGGTGAAGCTGGGCGCTGGTGGCTCACGCCTGTAATCCTAGCTACTCAGGAGGCTGAGATCTGAGGATCACGGTTCAAAGCCAGCCTGGGCAGGAAAGACTGTGAGACTCCTATCTCCAATAAACCACCAGAAAACTGGAAGTGGCGCTGTAGCTCAAGTGGTAGAGCGCTCGCCTTGAGCTGAAGAGCTGAAGGACAGTGCCCAGGCCCAGAGTTCAAGCCCCACGACCGACAAAAAAAAAATAAAATGAAAAATAAAAATTTCGAATTGGTGAGATCTAAAGGGAAGACCTAACAGGAAGTTTGGTCAATCAGGAGACCAAGCCCTGGATAAACAAAGGATGGAATATTCCTTGAATAATCTTCCCAGGCTTCATGCTATCCAGTCATCAGATACCCACCCTTCATCCAGAGTGTGTGAAGCAGGCCCCTGAGCTCTGTGAACAATGCTGAGGGTCGTGTGCTCATGTCTTGAGATACAAATACCCTGGGTAAAGGTTTGAAATTAAGGAAAAGTAGGAAAATCTCTGCCTATCAGGAGTTTCACATGTCCCTTATCATTTTAATGTTTCCTTACATTTGCACTGAAAGAAGTTTGATGAGCTGGGCACTGGTGGCTCATGTCTGTAATCCTTGCTACTCAGGAAGCTGAGATCTGAGGATTGAGGATCCAAGCCAGCCTGGGCAGAAAAGTTCCTGTGAGATTTTTATCTCCAATAAACTACTTAAAACAACAACAAAAACCAACAAAAATGGCACTATGGCTCAAGTGGGAGAGTGCTAGCCTTGAGCAAAAAGAGGCTGAGGACAGCGCCTAGGCCCTGAGTTCAAACCCTAGGACTGACACAAGAAAAAAGAAAAGAGGGGGTGATAAAGGCCTAACGTTCCAAGTCTGGCAAGAAAAGCTATCTAAATTACTATATAGCACTTGATAGTATGCTATGTACATTGATTCATTTAATTAATTAAAAGGATTTGGGATTCTCACAGTAGGGCCACAAAATAGAAGAACAAATAGGAGCCAAGAGTGGAGAAAGGGCTTCTGCAGCTAAGCACCCAGAAGAAGGGAAGAAGTGGCTGGAACTGAAGCCTGGCAGTGACTCATCGGAGTGCCCTGTTTTAATGGTGAAAAGCAAGTCTGCCGAGAGTAAAGATAGCTGTTCAAATTCAAACATGTACAACTGGGTAAACAACTAGTCAGTTGAATGAAAACAGATATATTTATGTTTCAAAGGCATAACCTAGGCTCATTTGAAATTCTGATCTTAAGAATGTGCTGAGAATGAGAATTCAAAGAATAAATGTGTCTGACTCTCAGTATGACAAGCCCCCTCCATCCCAGATGCACTTGCAGTAGCAGTAGACGATCCTGTGAGCACAGAGAGGTGTAACGACCTCTGTGATATAATGGCTACTGAGCAACATCATCTCATAAAAGCTTGAGAAGCACACAGGACGCACAGTGATGGAACTGTCATTTTTGTGTTTCAGATGCTGTTATCATAGGAATCATTCTTGAGTTTTGCTGACTTGTGTCCAAATTTTTATCTGACACTCTACTTCTTTTTTTTTTAATTTTTATTTATTTTTTATTGTGAAAATACTGTACAGAGGGGTTACAATTACATGGACAAGATAATGAGTACATTTCTTATCAAGTATTGTAGCCTCCTCCTTTGTTTTCCCTTCCCATCCCTTCCCAGCCTCCTCCCCCCCCCCCACCCAATCTGACACTCTACTTCTAAAGCACTATTATAAAAATTCAGTTTACTTTGACAAAGAGAAAAATATGTGAAAAGTCTTCATTGTATTGATGAAGCAAAAATGAAGACTTCAAAAAAGACACTGATCAAGCGAGATGCTGGTAGCTCAGGCCATAGTCCTAGCTAATTTAGGAGGTTGAGACCTGAGAATTAAGGTACTAAGCCAGCATAAGCTGTGAGACTCTATCTCCAGTTAACTGTGGAACAGGTGGAAGTAGAGCTCAAGAGGTAGATAGAGCATTAGAGCTGGGAAGGTAGCTCAGTGGTAGAGCGCTTGCCTTGCATGCCTGAGGCCCTGGGTTCGATTCCTCAGAACCACATAAGCAAAAAGAAAAAAGCTGGAAGTGGCGCTGTGGCTCAAGTGGTAGAGCGCTAGCCTTGAGCTGAAGGATAGCTCCCAGGCCCAGAGTTCAGGCCCCATGACTGGACCCAAAAAAAAAAAAAAAGAGGTAGAGCATTAGCTATGAGCAAAAAGTTTAGGGAAGGGCCCAGGCCCTGAGTTCAAGCCCCAGTGCACACGTGCGCACACGCACATGCACACGCACACACACTAGAAAGACACTGATCAAAACTCTGCCTGTAGATCTGAAAGTCAAAGAGAAACACGAGGAAGTAAATGAGTAGAACAAGTAGGAAGTAAAGGAAATACTCCAGGGCCCCCAGGGGAGAGAGGATTACCATTTTCTTCCAGAAGGCACACTAAAGCATGAGTATCAAAGTAGAGCTTCCTATTCCCAGCAGAGGTGAAATCTCTCCTTTTGTGTTCCAGCTGCAGGCACCCAGCAGACAGGCTTAGCTCTGGAAAGGAAAGAAAACAGACTTAGTGCTAAAGAAAATAACTTAGCCCGGCGCTGGTGACTCATGCTTGTAATCCTAGCTACTCAGGAGGCTGAGATCTGAGGATCACAGCTCAAAGCCAGCCCGAGCAGGAAAGTCTATGAGACTCTTATTGCCAATAAACCACTCCGAAAACGGGAAGTGGTGCTGTGGCTCAAGTGGTACAGCATTAGCCTTGAGCTGAAGTGCTGAGGGGCAGTGCCCAGGCCTGGAGTTCAAGCCCCATGACTGACAAAATAAAAAAATTAAAAAAAAGCACCCTGGGATATTCTTTAATATCCTGAAAGCCTAGCTATTATATATGTATGTATGTATGTATATATGCATCCATCCATCCATCCATCCATCTATCCATCCTTGGTGGTATGGGAGTTTGAACTCAGGACCTCGTGCTTGCTAGTCAAGGTCTCTACTACGTGAACCATGCTCTTGGCCCTTTTTTGAGTTTCTGCCCAGGGCTTGCATCAACCACAACCCTCCTACCTATAGCCTCCTTAGTAGCTGGGACTGTTCTAACTTTTTGCTCTGGTTGGCCTTGAATCACAATCTTTCTGATTTCTGCTTCCTGGATAGTTGGACTGTGGGCATGAGCCACTGTGCCCGGCCTTTGAATAATCTTAAAAAGAAAAAAGAAAAAAAGAAAGAAAAAAACCCTAGAATTCATTTCAATACTTTAAGTAATTGAAATATAATTCACTCTCTCCACAAGTCACTAATTTCAAGTGTAACATTCAGTTGTTTTCAGTATACTTCCACAGTTGTGCAATCAACACCATAATCAACTTTGGAATACTTTCTTCACCCAAAATGAAACTATTTCAGTCATCATTCTCCGTATTACTGCATTATATAACTCCTTATCCATTTCTGTCTCTATTGTCTGCTTACTCTGGAAATTTTGTATAAATGGAATCACACAATATACAATTTTTATTCACTTCATATATTGTTAATGATCAGCCATGTTGTAGAAAATGCCAATTCTTTGTGTTGCTGAATAATATTCTACTTTATGGTTAAGACAAATTTTGTTCTTTTAAAGCATGAGCTGTTTTCAGGTCTTGGCTACTGTGAGAGTTGCATGGACGTTTCAGTTCTCTTGAGTATATGTCTAAGTGAGGAACTGCTAGATTACATGGGGACCATGCTCAACTGTTACAGGAATTGCCAGGCATTCCCCAAAATTCCAGTAGCAGAAGCAATGCCCTTTAGTCTCCACATCCTCACTAAAACTTGCTATTTTGTTTTTTTAATTTTAATCATCCTACGTACGGTGTTTCATTGTGGTTTTGATTTGCATTTCTCAGACTGCTAAAGATGTTGGACATCTTGTCATGTTCTTATTTAATACTTTTAGATCTTTTTTGGAAAAATGTCTACTCAAGTCTTTTGCCTATTTTAATTAGGTTTTCTAATCATTTTTAGTACTGAAATGAAAGAGTCTATACATACTCCAGCCACAAGTTTCTTTCTTTCTTTCTTTTTTTTTTTGGTCCAGTCCTGGGGCCTGAACTCTGGGCCTGGGCACTGTCCCTCAGCTCTTCAGCTCAAGGCTAGCGCTCTACCACTTGAGCCACAGCGCCACTTCCAGAATCGAATCCAGGGGCTCATGCATGCAAGGGAAGTGCTCTACCACTGAGCCACCTTCCCAGCCCAAGTTTCTTAACAGATGATTTGTAAATACCTTTTCCCATTCAGTGGGCTATTTTTTTTTAACTTATGTCTTTTGAAGCATGCTAGTTTCTTGTTTTTTTTTTTTTTTTGTCAGTCATGGGTCTTGAACTCTGAGCCTGGGCGCTGTCTCTGCACTCTTCAGCTCAAGGCTAGTGCTCTACCACTTGAGTCACAGCGCCACTTCCGGTTTTCTCGTGGTTAAATGGAGATAAGAGTCTCACAGACGTTCCTGCCTGGTTTGGCTTTGAACTGTGATCCTCAGAGCTCAGCCTCCTGAGTAGCTAGGATCACAGGTGTGAGCCACCAGCACCTAGCTGCATGCTAGCTGCATGCTAGTTTTGATGAGATATGTTATCTGTTTTTCCTTTTGTTGCTTGGGCTTTTGATATAATGTAAGAATCTACTGTCAAATCCAAAATGCACTCAGGTCTTTGATCCATTTTGAGTGAATTTTTGCATAAGGTATGATGTAGCTTCATTACTCTGCCAGTATATGTCCAGTTGTCCCTGAACCATTCTCTACTGCACAGACTGGTCATTCTGTCCAGAAATCTGGGGATTGTATGATGTATCTCTCTGGGCTCTCTATTGGATTCCACAGATCTCTATGTCTGCCCTATGCCAGTGGCACACTTTCTTCATTACTTGCAGCTTTAAATTTTAACATCAGAAAGTGAATTTTACACTTTGTCCTTTTTCATGATTGTTCTTTTATATGATATAGTTTCCTTGTGCTGTCAATTTCTGCAAAGAAGTCTGTTGAAACTTTGAAATGGACTGTGTTAAAGTTGCACATCTATTTTGGAATGGTGATGGTCTTGCCATCTTAACAATACTAATTAATCAGGGAAATAGACCTGGTTTTTCTATTGATTTAGGTACAAAGCAACAATGTATTGCATTTTTATGAATGTATCTTTTATGCTTTTTTTGTTAAGTTTATTACTAAATATTCTATTTTTTTATTTTACTACAAATAGGATTATTTTCTTTCATTTTTGGATTGTGTATGGTTAATATATAAATATGTAACTGACTTTGTATACTGATTTTGTGACTTGCTGAACTTCTTAGTTGTAAAATAATCCCTTAGCATTTTCTATACTCAAAGTCCTGGTATCTGAGAACAGTGATAGTTTTATGTCTCCTTTCCACTCTGGGGACTTTTATTTGTCTGTCTTGGCTAGACCTTTTGAGTACAATACTGAATAGAAGAACAAAAGCAGGCAATCTTTTCTTATTCTTGAAAGGAAGGAAAGTTCTTTTCATTATATATTAGCTGTAAGGATTTTGTTTGTTTGTTTCTGGGCCTGGGCGCTGTCCCTCAGCTCTTCAGCTCAAGGCAAGCGCTCTACCACTTGAGCTACAGCGCCACTTCCGGTTTTCCGGTGGTTTATTGGAGATAGGAGTCTCACGGTCTCTCCTGCCCGGGCTGGCTTTGAACCGCGATCCTCAGATCTCAGCCTCCTGAGTAGCTAGGATTACAGGCGTGAGCCACCAGCGCCTGGCTCCTCCTTCTGTTCTTGAATTTGTCTTCCACTAGGATTCCAGGTATGAGCCACTACACATGGTTATTTTTAATTAATCTTGAAAGGAGTTGAATTGTGACAAACATTCTTTGTTGGTTGAGATAACTATGCAAGCCTATGCTCTTTAGCCTATTAAGATGGTATATTACAGTGACTTCCAGATGTTAAATGAACTCAACATTCCTGGCATACCCACTTGATCATTGTAGGTAATACTTTTTTTTGTTGTTGTTGGTAGTGGGGCTTGAACTCTGGGCCTGGGCGCTGTCCCACAATTCTTCAGCTCAAGGTGAGTGCTCTACCACTTGAGCCACAGCACCACTTCCAGTTTTCTGGTGGTTTATTGGAGATAGGAGTTTTATGGACTTTCCTGCCTGGACTGGCTTTGAATCACAATCCTCAAATCTCAGCTTCCTGAGTTTAGCTAGGATTACAGGTGTGAGCCACCGGTGCCCAGCTGTAATACTTTGTTTCATGTTAACTGATTAAGTTTGCTAGTTGGGGTGTGTGTGTGTGTGTGTGTGTGTGTGTGTGTGTGTGTGTGTGTGTGTGTGTGTGTGTGTGTGTGTGTGTGTGTGTGTGTGTGTGTGTGTGTGTGTGTGTGTGTGTGTGTGTGTGTGTGTGTGTGTGTGTGTGTGTGTGTGTGTGTGTGTGTGTGTGTGGCTTGGGGTGTGTGTGTGTGTGTGTTTCTGCGTGTGCGCACATGCCAATCCTAGGGCTTGAACTCAAGACCAGGGAGCTGTACCTGAGCTTTTTTTTTTTTTTTTTTTGGCCCGGTCATGGGGCCTGAACTCTGGGCCTGGGCGCTGTCCCTCAGCTCTTCAGCTCAAGGCTAGCGCTCTACCACTTGAGCCACAGCGCCACTTCCGGCTTTTTTTCTTTTTGCTTATGTGGTGCTGAGGAATCGAACCCAGGGCCTCAGGCATGCAAGGCAAGCACTCTACCACTGAGCCACCTTCCCAGCCCTACCTGAGCTTTTTTGATCAAGACTAGCTTTACTATTTAAGCCATAGCTTCATTTCTAATTTTACTTATGATCTCTTGGGTTTTTGTACCTACATTCACAAAAGATACTTCTCTACAGTTTAACTGTATAATCTTTGTAAAAGCCTATCTTTTGGAGAAACATACTCTAACAATCTTTACCATAAATTTAACAACAGATTCAGACAATTCTATAAACTTCTTGTTCCAAGGTATTCATTTAAGGGAGGTAATATAGTTTATTGCATTGGTTTCCTGGATTTCAGGAATTGCTAAAATAAATTTTTTTAAGTGGAACAATATTTGGGTTGCTAATCATTTCATCAAGACAGGACATTAAGAACTGTGAATGTGGCTTAGTGATAGAGTGCTTGCCTAGCATGCATGAAGCCCTGGATTTGAATCCTCAGTACCACATAAACAAAAAAGGCTGGAAATGGCTCTGTGGCTCAAGTGGTAGAGCTCTAGCCTTGAGCAAAAGAAGCTCAGGGACAGTACCCAGGCCCTGAATTCAAGTCCCAGGACTGGCAACAAAAGAAAGAAAGGAAGGAAGGAAGGAAGAAAAAAGAAGGAAAAAAGAAAGAGAACATTAATAGCTTTTTACTAAAAAAAAAAAAAAAATTGAAAAGGTACTTTAACACTAAGAAGGAAAAAAAAAAACTAAAGACAGGCAGTCTAAAAGAATTTTCATGCCTGTTTGTCATATATATGTGCCTGTCCTAGAGCTTAAACTCAGGGCCTGAGTGCTATCTTTGAACTTTTATCCTCAAGGCT